CATATAGAAGAGAAAGGAAAAACCTAATGATGTATATGTGAAAACATAAAGGAAAACACCAAGATGTGAAATGACGTAGTTCGTAGGGAAAATGTCCATATGTGCTGCACAGATACATATTTAAAGAGTCCTCAACACTAACTTATGCATGTTCTTTTTTACGTTATTAGTACTTTGTTAGGTCAAAAGAGTTTTGACCTATCAATAAAAACCTTGCCCATTTCGCCCATTGTTTTTTTCGACACAAGAGGAGTTTGCCCATTGGTCTTAAAATCCTGGTTACGCCGCTGCTCACACCCACACTCACCCTGTACATATATGCTTTATTTTCCCGTTAAGTACTCAGTTTTTGACATTAGATAGATATTTCATATTCAATATATATGAATTTTTTTCACTTTCATGAAGTAGTCAATACATCACAGTAAAAGAATTAATACTTCTTGTCTAGTACAAATCTACTTTGTTTTTATCCTATATTCAGTTATAAAGATATAAACATATTCAAATAGTATTAAAGTTAATACTCTTTATCTTCAATCAGTCGTTTGTTCACAAGACAAAGAAGGATATACCGTATTCAATATGGATTTGTTAGATGATATTAAATCTTCAGTTTTACATGAGTCTAAAATTATACTCTTTTATCAACTTATTTTTCCTTAATATTTACTCGAGAATTAGTGTAGTAAGTTATACACCTGATCTAATAATAATATTTCTATTATATAATTACTTTCGTATTTTTGTTCTAGTTGAATAGAGATACTCTTAAATCAACGTATTTTCTGTTTAACTTTCAATAATATGACATTATGCATTCAATCGTACAGAGATAAGACTGTTTAGGATTCTAAATTTTCACCATACATGTGAGATCATAAAATAATAATCATGTTGAATAATATTATTTAGAATTTCTTGAAAGCATATTCTTAGTTGTGTAGTACTTTAAATTTTTTATGTACACCTATCTAATTAACAAATCAATAATACGTCCCAAGAGTCATCCATTAAGAACATCCAGATAAAGAGGAAAGGGGTCGACTGAATCTAGATAGAGGGGAGAAAGTCAAACATTTCTGACCGTCCAGACACCGAATATTGATATTTTCCTTTTTTCAGACGAATTTCCGCGAAGTTTTGAAGAGCACTTTTAAACAGAAAATAGGTTGAATCGATCAGTTAAATGTAAATATGGTTTTACAATAATTGAAGATTAGACTACGCGAGTAAATACTTATGTTGTGAAGTAGTAATATTAATGTTGTTTTATTTTCTATTGCCATTGATATTGAACTTCACTTGTTTTTTTATATTTTTGCTATCCTCTGATCAATAAAATGCATAATGTATTTAAAAAACAAAAACTTTGAAATAATTTATATTTTTGTTTGTTGTTTATGAAATGTGTGTGTTATCGTTTTTTCTCGATATGAATATATTCATTTCTGTTTTTGATATTTTTATTTCATGAAAAAGAAAAAGTATATTTGAATAAGCAGAGTTTTCTGGAAGCTTATTTTTTTATATTAGATAATCTTTTCATTCTCATAAAAAATTGTGAAATTGCTAGAATATTCGCTACTCGTTCGAGTTATTAATCATCACTTGTAAGTAAATAATTATTATGGTCACGTCATGCTAGTTACGATCAATTACAATCAACGATTCATACTTTGCAGGCAGAAATCCTTCTTTTAGAAAGTATAAATAATCGATATAAGGCAATAATTGATAGAAGAGTACAACTACAGAATGATTATTTTCTTCTTAAAAAAGAAAAAAAACAAGAATATGAAAGATTAGTGAAAAACAAGTGTCACCATCGTATTTTTCTTGCCATCCCATTCTTAGTTACCCAGGTCAAACAATACGGTCCGTAAACGACCGTTTACGGTTACCTTACGACGCATAAACGGACCGTATACGGCCGTAATATCGGGTACGGAAATACGGCCCTATAATAATGAGATTATGCCCCGTATACGGCTGTATACTGTGAAAATACGGCCTCGTATACGGTGCCGTATTACTGTGCCCATGATTACGAGAAAATACGGTCCGTTTACGGTGCCGTATGAAGCAAATTACGGTGAAAATACGAATAGGCGTATCTATAGACCTGGGTATGTACATCATGTGGATCAATATTCAACAAATAGAAGAAAATGATAAATCATTATTAAATACCTCATACAAACAGATATTTGACATAATAAAATTACAAATTACAAAATTTATTAAAACATCACGAATAAAATGTATTTTTTTAGGATTACTTTTTAATTTTACATCGTTGATTTACGGCCAACTCAATTTTTCTTGTCCGACATCGTTATTTTCTAGTTTATTTATTCAAGGTTTATTGCGCTTAATATCAATTGTAATACCAGAGTTCGCCATACTTCTTGTCTTTATGCTTACATGCTGAATGGTTCCTGTTTTTCTTATGTGTGCGGCCAGTAAACTAGTAAGTGTTAATTAGTGCGAGTATTTCATAAATAAAGCAAAAGTTTTTTTTACGATTTTTATACATAATTAGATAAGGCTTGTCGAGCAGTATGAGAATATGCGTTTAAAAAGTTTCCACGTCGCTTGTCATAAGAAAATATTCAAAGAGCTCGCATTTTTTTTGTTTCAAAACATAAGTGTTACCTGTCAAAAAGATTAACTTTTTCAAACGTTTCTCTTGATGATGAAGCTCTAAATTGTGTTTCATAGATGCTATATGTGAATCTGTATCTAAGAACATGAGAAAAGGGTCTATAAGAGATCAAAGCAAACTTCTAGTACTTCTCTTGGTTAGTTTCATTGACTCATACCAACTGAAAGAGCATGTTGAAAGTAACATGTTGGTACTAATTTTATGCGGTATTGATCGAATTTAGAAGGCTAAAAGCTATCAACAAAATAATCTGATGGATTATTAGAATAGCGACCTAAAATAGAACACTTTGTTGATAGCTTTTAAGTTTCAAAATTCGATCAATACCTCATAAAACTGATACCAAAATGTTAGTGTCAATATGACCTTTCGATTGATGTATGATTCAATAGCGTTGGTCAAGAAAAATACTAGTGATCCAATTGGATTTCTTATGCATCCGCCTTCCTATGTTTTCATTCAGGACGAACTTTACGATTCTCGTCAACGGTCGTATATAACGCTGTGAATGGTTGTATACATTGCAAAATAGGCTTGTATGCGGCCTTACACTAGCTCCTAGAACTATGAGCGTGTATCGTCGTGTCGTATGCGACAAATTTCGCCAGCGTAATCACACAGTGTTTCCCTCAACGAAGATGGGAAAGATAACTTTATCTTACCTTTCTTCTCGTAAACAAAATAAATTATTGTGTTACTTAGATTTTTTGCAACGACTGTTCTAATCGTCAGTATTTGTCTGAAAAATTCAACAATATATTCTTGTAAAAAATATATTGTTGAGTTTTTTAAATTTCTACAATTAGATCTGTCATTCCGACAAATCTAGAAAAAATTATTTATTCACATAGTTATTCACTCTAGAATGTATTGAGTTAAATCTAAAAAACCAGATTACTTACGTTTATATTTGAATAAACATTTTTTTAAATAAATAAATTTATTTATTCAAATAGTTACTTTGGAACTTGTTTTGGAGAGAAATCTAAATGAAAAAATACGGTTTAGTTTTTCAAAAAAATTCTTGGAATTGAATCTGTCGTTGAGATCAGTCTAAATAAAAACATATAATTTATCATTTTTAATTCATACTTAACAGCCGGTTTGATGTTGGAATAAATCTAAATAGATATACATATATAAATTAAGTTTTCAATAAATACTTACTGTTGAACTTGATATTGAGAGAAATCTGAATAAAAAAAAATGATTTGTTTTTTTTAATTGATTTTGATGATTGGATTTGATGTCGAATTCAAAGGTCTTGATCAAGATGAACATCACAAATCGCGGCTAAGTTACGATCATTATGATCATGCTTTTTTGTACTGAACAGATATATGTTTACATGTAGTGTTTAGAAAATATCATTTAGAGTTTTTTAATCGACAGAAACGTTATAAAAGTTAATCTATTTGACAATTTACATGTATGTTTCTAAATAGAAAAGAAACTTGCTAGCTCTTTCAATATTTTATTACAACAAGATAGGTTGAAAACTTTTTAACGCCCGTATTCTCGTAGAGCTCGGCCAGTTCTAACTAACCATGTATAAAAATCGCAAAAAAAATGTTGTTCGATTTTTGAATTACTAGTACCTTACATATATGATAAATCTATTCTTCTTCTCTGTTATTTTAGATTAGCAACTATCGTGATGATAATTTCGTATAATATGGACATTCCTATCAGATACAGTTCATTGTCTAGTCATGAACTCAGAGTTATTTTCTTAGTTATTTTTTCCTTTTTTTTGTTTATATATTTCTTTTCTCAGAGAGCTCTTTTTGTTTTTTATCTTTCAGCTATTAGTATCTATTTCAGTCAGATACTTTCAACACAATAAACTTCTCCCAGGTCATATTTTTAGTGCTTTATTTCATCTTTCGTTTTGAAAAGTTTTGTAGATACAATAATGGCAGCTTTCTACCGATTTATCAATGAGCCATATTCACAATTCACTTCTTGGCCACTATTTCAGCTATATCGTGGCCAACACAGAATCATTCATTTCTTTTCCTCTTATCTTTCATCTTTTTTCAAAAAATACTCTCGTCGTTTGAATTATTTTATTCTTACACAAAATGAAGAAAAAAATTATAAAAAGTGATGTCTATCGAAATGTTTATCGATGAATGAGGAACTGTTCAAGAGATAGTGCATGTATTGAGTAGTGTACGAATCGCTTGTTGTTGTCGTTCACGGTGGAAAATGGCTGCTAATTGGGCCATCGGTTGTGTATAATATGTATACAACCAGTTTGGTCGATAAGCCATAATTTTCTTTACTCGTCTAGTTCGACCAGCAACAACAATTGAGTTGACAACCAAAAGACTTCTTTGTACTTCACCTAAATCGTACATTCGATTAAGTGATGAACCACACATCTTTCCATCTCGATCTTCAAGCATGACTTTGTCAATGAAAATATCAGGATCAAGAGTAGCACAGCAGACAAATAAAAGACGAATATCAGTATCGGTCAAGTCATCATAATTTTTATAATCTCGAAGACCTTTAAGATCAGATTCATCATATTCAATTAATGTACACATGCAATCCAAGTAGTACATAAGTTTTGCTATGCTATTATCAGGTACCTTAACTCGCCGACTTGAACGAGAGACATCATATGTATTTAAATTGAAAAAAGCCATAATAATAACTTTGATATTGTGTTAATATCACTGAATATCATTTGTCTATTTATACTAAGTAGATGCGATGCTTGTTGGAATTTACCAAGTGAAAGGTAAAGATAGATACGCTTGATTTGTTTTTGTCATTATGATGCAATACCACTCAGTGAATCAGTTCCTTAATTCGTTATTCAAAACGTCATCAAAACATATATGTCGAAATATTAAAAAACGAAATTCCCTTAAAACTTCCTTTTTAGTGGGAAAAGAAATTTTTTCGAATTTTCCGTCTAGGGAAATAAATATACTTTTTTTCATGATCAGACGTGTGAAGACATTAAATTACAGTAATCATTTCTCGTCACAGAAGAAAGTTAACAGATTTCAAGCAATATTTTTTAGATTTACTTTGAAGTCTAGAAGAAATCATTTATTATTGTTAATGGATAATGTATGAAGTTCATAGGATCTTAAATAAATAGTAAATAAATATATGACTAATGTATTGAGATGCAACTTATTTGAAAGGGATATAACTAAAATCTGCTGATCTCCCTAAAAGTTACATTTAGAAAACTAATTATTTTCCACATACAATACTATTAATCAATCATTTTGAAAAGTATGCATCATCATTTTTCAATGATGAAATAGTACTAAGAACATCATTCTTGATTTAAAAGTTCTTTAAAGAAAATAAAAAAATTTTCAATTTTCATTAAGTTCAATTAGATAATGCATTCTATTCAACAACTATTTATACATATATTTTGACAGTTTCAAAATCGATCATATAAATTTTGGTGTTTCATTTCAAAAGATCAATTATTTGATATTTACTCACGCTTAATATATAAAGGATATTCGACTTTTTAGTTTATCAATGTCATGTAATAACTTGATAGACATTTTTAAGTGTAAAATTTTTTATATCATGTGTCATAGAAATCTAAATTATTTGTGTATGAATATTATTTTTCACTACAACTTTTTGATAGTTTGCAGCTATTTTCAATTAGTATTTTTAAAAAGATTTTTAATGATGGATAAATTCATAACATGAAACATTTCAGTAGTAATTCAATAAAATCAAGATTTTCTAAACAGAGAATACGAAAAGAATTGTTTCGATACTTAGTTTTGACGAAGTTACGATAAAATCTGTCTAAGATTTTTTTGTCATAAAATTTGGCTAAGAATATGACACGGACTGTCATGTAACACTTAACAAAATACAATACCTAATTCAATTTTATGGTCAAAAAAAGTAAGCTCCACACGTAAACTCCAAATTTGGAGCTCACTTACGCT